TAAAAGTGTTTCAATGTTATTACTGAAATGAACAGAATTGAATTTTGTGAAAACACACTTTGAAGGATATCTTTGCTAGAGTACGTATCAGTGTTAGAGGCCATATGTAATACAGTTTAATATATTAAAATCAGTTAAAAGTTTTCGAAAATATGGCTTTGATGCAGAAGAAGCCTTAGAGGAACTGCTAGCTATAGCTAATGTTTGAGGCATTAGTGAGGGAAGTTATGAAGATTCGTTTTTTTAATATGTGTCAACTTGAAAACATATTGAAGACACATGTGTAAAAACTATGAAATTATTAGGACTGCTGAAACTGACAGTGAAAGTGATTAAAAAAAGTGATGACATCCTAACATCAATCGAGTTAATAAAAAATGCTCTAAATTCTAAGAAAAATTTTGAACAGAAAGGTGTTGATCAAGAAAAACTAGTTTTATGAAACTGGGAATAAAATTGAAAAACTGTTGCTGAACAACATACAAACACAGATAGAATATTTGCTCGTTAAGAGATGAAATTTCATCAAGAATATAATTATAAAAATAAAAATGAATTTCAAAATTGCATAACTAGTTTAATTTTAACTATAATTTTCAATTATCATTTTAGAATTAATTAATTATGGTGATGTTAATTTATTATTTAATTTAATTAATTATTTAAAAATGGAAAGGTGTTGAAAATTCTAGAGTATTACTTCATATTTTCTCCTTATATTATAGCTTTTCATGCATAAGTTGTTTTTCCTAATACATATTTCTCTAATGAAGACTTACAAAATGTTTCAGCTCCTGCATTGTGGTCTAATATAATGATAATACAAATGAATACTTATAATTCTGCAAAATGACAACACTGCTTGCAAGTACTTCTGACATTAAAGAAAATTCTCTAGCTTTTCATTTATCCAGAATAAATTTTAAAAATGTCTGGATTTTGAAAAGCAAAACTAGTCTTCTGCTAGAAATTATTTTGAGGAAAACTTAAGCAAAACTTAGATGGTGAATCTGCTGACTTTTGAAAAAATACTGTACATGAATTTTAAAATTCTATATCTCTGTCTGTTACTGTACTATATTAAGTTTTAGTGCATTCTTTTAAAACAGCTACCATGCTTGGTTGCCTAAATTGCTAAATTTAATCATTCAATTTGTAACATGCAAATTTCACACATGCCTACAAATTTATGCAGGCTACTTTGAAAAGGAAGTACAGTAAATACAGTCAAAAGTCGTTAATTCGGACCTCAAAGCTACAAACTTTCTGCGCATGCGTAAACGAATTGCATGCGCATATGTGTTTTACGCATGTGCATCATACCTTTACGCATACACATATGCGTTTACGAATTCGCATAATACGTTTATGCGTGCACGTTTAATGTATAACAGATAGTATAAGCTAAGCTAAAATTATCTATGTCTGTTAATGTTGCAGATTGCATTGTTCTTTAATCCGGCTTCTAATTGGATCCAGCTTTAGAGCAATTTTATAAATGTAAGCTTGAACTTTCGATTATGTCAAAAAGAATTCGGATTCTGGAGCTGCCAAAGGAATGTACGAAGCGAAAGCATGTTTCGATGTCCGTCAAACAAAAAGTGGATGGCTGCAAAAAATGGATAAAGGCATATCCTTTGTTTATCTAACCATTCCGAAATCTGTTTATCAATTTCACACTGCTCTGGGGCTGGGGGAACGCCATGGCACGCAATGAATTGGAAGTTAATCTGTCAGCACTATCCTTATCTTCAGGGTAGATGTTTTTATTTTATTTGGCTTATAATTCCTTACTAAATGTAGTATTTCATCTCGATGTATTCTGTCTTTGATATGATTTAAATCAAATTCCTCGTCATTATAATTCGCTTCCGATAGTGAAGAAAGTGACACAGAGGTTAGTGAAAACGAAAAAATTTCGATTGACAAATTAGTCGGTATTCTCGACACAGTAATTATAGGACTTGAACAGCGGAACTTTGTAACTGAACAAGAAATGATGTCTTGTTTATAGAATTAAAGAGAAAGTATTATCACATAAAATATAAAGCAACCTAAACAACTTATATTGAAAGAAATGTTTAAAGTAAACAAATAAATATTAAGCTTTTTTTTTTTTTGTAAATTTTGATACCCTTTAGATCATAATTGTTCTTTATTTCATATTTTTAATTTTATAATTTCTGCATGCCATCTTACCAGATTTAAACTGATGATCTATAATCCGGAATCGCTGAAGTCCCGACGAGTCCGGATTAACGACTTTTGACTGTATATGTATGTTTTCTAAAAAAATTAGAAATCATTGATACACATTTTTAGAAAACTTCATTACAGACTGCATACTTAAAATAAATATTTATTTGAAAATGCTTATAACAAGTATTAAAATAATATTTTTTTAATCAGCATTTAAAAATTAAAACAATTTTAATTAATTTTAAACTGTATTAAAAGCTAAATGTTATAACTACTAAAACAATTTACAGTGATCAACGAGAAAAAACATACTGAAGCTGAAAAATCACATGATTATATAACCATTGCTCCAGGAAACAATGATTTTGAATACGTCAAACAGATTTTATAGTTTGCTAATTTTAAAAATACAACATATCAGTAAGCTTGAAATGAATTTTGAAAAATGTTATTCCCCAATAATTCCATCTTTTAAGAAACTGCATACATTCTTTTTTCGTCACTCTCATGTCTGTTGTCAAGTGAAATGATTTGTGACACATTGTGTCATCTAATAGTAGTCCTATATTTATGATAACAACATTAGTTTGGAATAGCTTCAAACTATGTAATAAGTACAACTAATTTTATAACATTCTAACATAAAACTGGAGGAAAAAATATTTATGAATTAGCTGATATTTGAACAGCAAATTCAAAGAAGCACTATCTATCCAGTGGTTTTTTAGTCTTAGTTACCTAATCAGATTCCAGTTAATTATATTTTTTAATAAAAAATGAAATAATAAATAATATGAAAATAAAAAATTGATTCAAAAAATGAAAGCCGTCAGATCTCATAGTATGCCTAAAAGGGCATTTTTTCATTTACACATGCATACATATTTCGAGAATATTTGTGCTAAAAATATTTAAAAACAGTATATCCTTAGAATTTCTGATAGACAGTGTCACATACTGGCAATAAAAATATCTTATTCTGTATAGTGTTGCCACTGCTCACTTTAAAATCATTTGAGTTTTTTAATCAAAAATTCATTAAGGTTGTATCACACATTTAAAACATTTCAGAAGAAAAAATTTTTAGAATAATTTTTTCAGCTTTGTCATACGATATGAAACAGCCAATCACCACGGATCATTTTGTAGTTACCTATATAAAAGGAAATTGATTCTCCAATACAAATGAAGGCTGCTGATAGCTGATTGTTGAAAACAAACAAATTACAATATTTTCTAAAAGAAAGGAAAATATCGTGCATCTTTCTTTCAATGATAAAATGGGTAGAAAAATTATATGAAACAACTGATCATCAGAAATAAGCAGATGTGTGGATGTCTGAAATAAATTAAGCAGCATTAAAGTTTTAGAAAATATAAAAATAATAAAAGAAATTCAGACTTTGAAGTGCCCATATTACAAGTGAATGACTATGTTATTCAAAATTTGATAGCTGTAGGTACTGTTGTTCTTTCATAATGGGAGAAACATACTTGCATTCATGCAGATTCTTCATTATTTAATTTCTTTAAATATAATATAGGGTGATAATATTTGGTGGCAACAACTTGAAAAGTGATATAACACTTTTAGTGATTCGACACAAAATGCCATTTTGAGACTGACAGCTCTTCTGCATTAATGCCCCTCTTCGAATGATTGCTGTAGGTGCCCACAGAGGCAGGGATGAATTAAAGCATTATAAGCATGTGCTTTTAGGGCATGAAGGAAAGGAGGCATCACCAAAGGTCCTTAGGTATTCAGGAAAAGAAGCAAAATCTTTCAAGTACTTAGGGCCTTTAAAAGTATTAATCCGGCCCTGCATGGAGGAGAGGGCTCTAATAGACATTTATAGATTATTATTCTCTCTCTCTCTCTCTCTATATATATATACATAAATATCTGTGGTAGCAGGAAGATAGAGGCTGGCTTTGTTAGTATTAAAAAAATCAGAAAAAAAAATGACTTTTTTTGGAAGGGGAAAGAGATTATACAGAGATTATCATGCATCTTGAAAACTTGCAAGACATTAATATTTTATAAAATCTCCATATATTTGATGCAAGTTTTACCAAAAAGTGTTTTTGGTACTTTTTTGTTAAATAAGACAAGAACTTTAATTAATGAAGTACCTAAGGTTTTGCTTATTTTTTGAGATTTTGCCAGTTACTGCCACATTTATAGCAGGTATTTACATATAACTAAAATTTTAACCATTTGGGAAAAAAATTGCGACTAATCTTTGGAATATGGTAACAGGTATTTTGGCAACATTTTGGTAAGGAGATAAAGGTTACTAGCTAGGACTTTAGCAGTGTACATGGATATAGTTAAGAGTGTGCGCAATGCCATTTTTGTGCAGTTCTGGGATGTTTTTTTAAGTGAAAATAGGTCGAAGTGTACATGGATGATACCGTGTATGTGCAATTCGTAAAAACATGGCAAGCAGTGGGTGATTCTGCACTTTGTCCCAATTTCGCACCTAATCTTCATCATTATTAAACACTTTTGTTCCATAAAAGTTCTAGCATAAGCGTAATTCGGCTAGCAGATTGTTGGAAAAAATGTTGGAAATGTTAAGTAAGTAAAAAAAAAAAAAAAAAAAAAAAAAAAACTATGCTTTTACTTTGTGAAAACAAAATGGCATCCAACAAAAACTAGCAGGTTGCTGTAGCAGGGTTGATCGTCAAAAAATCGCCAAGTTACCATAATCCAAAGATTAACCAAAATTGCTAGTCCTGTATTATTAATCTCTATATTTTGATTTATTATCTGGTAAATAATTCACAGACACCATGTATTTTAAAGTAATTAAAAGCTGGTTCCTAATCTAAATGATAACAAATATATAAAATTTTAATTTTAGAAAAGACAAGTCATTTATCTATTCAATGCAATGTATAATGTAATAAATTACAAAATTTCAGCTTGTGGGCTGCCACCACTAAATGTATTTGGAGACTGAATGCTGCTTCCACCAGAGCTATAAATACGATCTTTTTCTGACCGTTCTGGTTTCTCATGTTTCTCATGGCGATGCTTATGCTTATGTTTATGTTTATTCTTCTTCTTTTTCTTTTTCTTATGCAATCTAGCCACCTGACTTAAAATTTCTAAAGCAGAGGTTGGAGGTTTATGTTCTGGAATATCAGGAGATGGTTTTTTAAACATACTAGAATCAAAACCAGTTGGTTGCTGGCCAAAAGTACTTTGTATGCCTGGCAGAGATTTAGATTGTGAATCATCAGAATATGCTTCAAATGTGCAGAACTGAGCTGGTGCTGGTGCAGATGTTGAATCTAAACTGCTACTTGTGGTTCGCATTAGAGACATTCCAGAAATTCCAGAAGCTGGAACTGATGTGCTTGGCAAGGGTGCAGTTTCTCTTACACGGACTTTATTTGAATCTTGATTGTCATTGATAATCAGATCTGCTTTCAGTCTTCCATTTGAAGAATAAAAATGGGGATGTTCTCCAAAATGCAAAGGACTTGATGCTTTTCTTTTTTCTCCTGTCAAATCACACGAGTTGGATTTTTCAATTTTTACTGTTTCAAGAATAATGGCATTCTCTGGTGGAAATGAATCATCTAATTGCATGCCATCATCAGATGCAGAATTTACGTTTTGGTGAGTCTTTTTTTCTTTTGTATTGATCCCTGGTCCTACATCAGTAGCAGGCAATACAGATGGTCTCTTTTGCCCATACAATGTATGATAGAGATCCATCACAGCACACCTCATTAGTGAATCATAAGCAGTTCCACAAGTCATCAGTTTCCACAACCTATCCACGAGCTCTTCTGAATTCAAATAAGAATCTGAATTGGCAAATGGTGGCTTTTCTGTCAGCAGCCGCAAAACCTGATATCTCACAGCTGGAACCGGATCACTTTCCACTATGTCCAATAAAAAATTCAAATCTTCTTCTCTTCCATCCGTACTTGTGAAATCAACCAGGGCCTCTAAAGCAGCCAAACGAACATCAATAAACATCCCATAAGCAGCATATTCTCGAAATAGAGAAGGATAATTTGGAAGGTGTCCCATTTTTTGCAATGTACGTATAGCTTTCAAACAACTGACAGTAACTGTATATTTATAACAGGAAAGAAGCTTTTCCATGTTTAAGCAGCGAGTAATCTCTTCAAGAATGGATTTGGTTTCAGAGGACAGAGAATCTGCAGTTATCGTGTGGCCTTGGGTTACAACGGATATAACAGGAGTTACGGTTTCAGCCAAGGCATCAACAAGCGCGGCTCGGTAGTAGTTATCTGAAAATTTGTTCTTGCTATTATCATTATATTTAAACAAATCTAGTAAAAATTTTAAAACTTCAGGAGGACAGATACATTGAACAGTTCTTAATCCAGCCATTGCTACAGGTATGTTTTTTTGTAAAAAATAATGCTGCAGATTTTTAAAATTATTTAATCGTATGATGTGCAAACATGAATGTGATCCAAATAGTTTTCTGAATATCGTCATCATGGCAGGAGGACCAGTCCAAGTGGCTACCATTGCATTAGCCACTTTCTGCAGACAAAAGCAAGCAATACATCGAATTTTATAAAAACAATGCTCATTTTCTATAGTGTGGGTTAGAGCTAACCTAGAAGCAGGTGTAGGAAATTTTTCCAAGGCTTCTATTGCTTCTTTTTGAGCTGTAACATCTCGTTCATAGCGTAACTGATATTGCCATTGGTAATCTGGTTGTTCGATAACTACTTGCCTTAATAATAACATTTCTGGATCAATACGTATCCACAGAACAGGAGAATCTGCATCCATCGCACTCAAATCCATATCTACTTCCTCTCCTGTACATAAAGGAATTTTCTTCTTTTTATTTCTTCTGCTTTTTGAGTGGCAAGTAATGTCATGCTTGGTAGCATTTTCTTCAATTTGCAAATTATGCTTGAAAGTGCCATCTAACTCCTGTATTGTTATTGTCAATGGTCCTACATATCGTCTTATTCCACGACTTTGTATATCTAGTTGTTTGATTTCTAACTCTACTGTATTTCGTTTACGATTAAATACAAAATTTGAAGAAAACTTTGGATGTCCACCTTGCCGTACCCATTGATCTAGAAATGTATTGATATCTTTTCCAGTTACAGTGAATATAGCTTTCTGGAAACTACTAGTTGATAACAGCATATTAAACCAAACATTGCTTGTAACTTTTTGTTGAGCTGCATTAGATGCCAGTGATAGCAGTTTATTGAAAACTTGTAGCAGTAACTCTCTACCAATCCTATCTTCTAACATCCTTATAACTAAATGAGATTTCTTGTTAAGTATTTTGTTATATTCTGGTGATGTAGTGTGCAGGTGCTGAGTGGGAAAATAAAAAGTGCCATCCTTTCCTTGTGCAACAGCAGCAACACTACCTGGTGCTGGTGTGACACTACAATCAAGAACTAACCCACCATGCTTCTGTTCATATTTAAGAACTTCATGAAAATCTTCATGAATCCATAATCTGTATTCATTATTACCAAAAGCTTTTTTCAGGAAATGGCCACTAAGATACATAGAAATACCTTTGGGTAACCAAACATCTGACCATGAAAACATACTTATAAAACACCCAAAAAATTGCTCAGCAACAGCATGGGCCATGATTCTGCGAGACATATAAGTCTGATCGATTATTTGTGGAGAACTTAATAAATTTGTGTTCAGAACCGTCATTGTGGCATAAGGTCGGGCATCTTGGAAAGATTCATCAACAAATACCTGTTTATAACAACTGTACGGATATCTACTGGACAAAAGCTCTTCATAGAACTCAAAAGCCTCATGTAAGAAATTTGTGGTATGTTTCAATAAAGGCAACAATCTTGGCAAACAGAAGTGAGTTACTTCATGCATTTGTGGATCAACAAATATTTCAAAAGGTCCAACTGCCAATCCTATATTTGGTGCACAAGTTGGTATTGATAAATTGTAATGGTATGTTTTCTTTCGCATGTCACTGGTATATACAGTTTCAACCAGATCACCACAAGATACAGCAACCATAGAAGCATCAACAGTGAATTCCATTCTCCACGTGCATAACTCCGAATATGAATCTATGCATGGAAACCAAAGTCGCGATGAATTGTCACAGCCATACGTGAACATGTGCGCACAGCGTTCAGCCATGGTTCCCTCACAATCAGGAACTACGAAATGGATTCCACCTTGAGGTTTTTCAAGAGCAAACTCAATACTCAAGCGAAATGATTTTCCCTCTGTTACTAAATGCATCATATCATATGGTACTTTGATAGACAGTTCGCCGTTTCCTTTATCAGAGTCTACAGCATTTACAGCAGATAGATGACAAGAATTGAAATAATCAATACTTTTTTGTTTATTATCTCCTTGGCATATGTTTAAACACGGATCATTGAATGAGAATTGACATTCGTGAATGTCATTTATAGCAACTTTATAGATTCGAAATTGTTTAGCATTGAGTCTAATTCGTCTAAATTCGGCTAGAGGTATTATTGTCAGTTCTACGAAACCAATCAGAGACTGCCTTTGAAAGTTTATTTGCGTTATGCAAAGTACTTGGTGAGACAATTTATACGGTCTCACCGGTGCATCGGCAGATTTTTCGATTTTTTTCATAATTACATAAAGTTAGATATAAAACTACACTAAACTGCAGTTTAATGCCGTTAATAAACAATTAACAGGCACCTTCCGCAAAGCAAAACAAATCGTTCAGAACAAGTTGAAGTAGTTTTCCCCACAGTCCTGTTAGTAGATAGTAAGGCTCGTAGATAGATGTCTTCTTTCGCATCCGCTAATTCTTTGTGCTCATAGCGTACAGAAAAAAAAAAAAAAAAAAAAGCTTTAGTGCAAAGGAATAAAACTAATTTTGTACGATATGATATGAATTTTTAAATATTAAGGGGAATACAAAAAGAATTTAACGATTTCTACCCCGTTTAATTTTTTTTACAATTTATTTTTCGTCGGCCTTGTTTTGGGGTGGGCGAATCAAGTGCAACGCTCTGATAAATTGCAAATGTTAGCTCGCAAGAGGCGTTCCTGCTATCGTCTGCTAAAGTCGAATTCAAGTGCAACGCTTTACCGCTCTGGTAACTGATGACGTCAAAATTGCAATGGGGAGCTGGTTTGCTCTCGTGCCAGGAGAGCTTGTCCGATAAACTACATCAATATCCAATGAGACTGCGTGTCGATGTAAACAAAAAACATCAGTTCCCATGATTTCTCTGAGCTTATGGTCAAGTGTTTACTGCGTTGTAGTGTGGTGTAACGAATTGTTCCAGTCCTGAAAACGAAAGAAATATATTTCTTTTAATGTGTACAACTTTATTTACTTTATCCTATAGAAAATTCCCTCCAAAGTAATCTACAGCAACAGGTGTGTGTAAAATATATTTTACTTTTCAGACAAAAATCCTTGCTTTTTCAAATATAAACCACATTTTTTTCCCATTTTCAAATTACAGCATTTGGTTTTTAATCAAATTTGTGTTATATTTTTATTGTTTAATGCAGATGCATGATTCTTCAGTGACAGTAGGCATGTTTACCATATGAAAATTAACTAGTTCTTGAATTATATAGTAATTAATAAGCCCATCTATCTACAAGCAGATAAGCCTGCTGAACACTGCTATCCCAGTCTCTCTTTAAATCCAGGTGAAAAAGCTGGCTGCATGAGTGTTTTCTTCATTTTTTCAATGTATAACATGAATACTAAGTTTTCCTTAGTCTTCTTCCACGCAGGCATTCCTTCCCTTAGACATTCATTATGTGATGAAACAGTTAAGAGCAATTTTAAGATTTATATTGTACATCGTTGGGAAAATATAAAAATGAAATTAAAGGTATTTCAATGTAATACAATAAATAAAAATTATATGAAACCCTGATAATTCTAATGTGATATTAATGTAATATATACATCCAGAGTAAAGGTTAATTTATAAATTATGCTTTGTGTTCTGCTCATTATATTGTGCATTTACAGTACACTTTCTGCTTCTTAAGTGAAAGTTTGGACCCATTCTCATTTGATATCAGTTATGTTCAGATTTATTTATTTCATAAAATTTCAAAAAACAATTTTTGGCTATTAAAAGCTACAAGTGCAGAAACAAAAGCTTAATTTCTTTACTGTAACTGTGTCATGCTTCTCTGCTGATAATGAAAGTCGTCTTTTAATAAGATTTCTTTCATTGCATATATTAATTATATCTTTTACCATACTGGTTGCCATCTTTCATTGTGCATTCTTCAATATTTTTTGGTACTTACGTATTAACACAAACACCTGGATCAGTTTGGTGGTCTTTATAAATGAAAAGAGAAAAATACTTATCAGGAGAAGTACGTTGTTTTTGCAGCTTGCTTTTAGCATAACCAAACTATCAATATTTATCTAAGTTGGCAAAATGTTATCAACATATCAAAGGAAAAAACATTTAACAAATTTTAAAATACTAATTTGAATTATTAAATAAAAATTATATGATAGTTTAAAAAAAATACATTTTCCACAAATTTTTTGTCTAATTTTTTAGCACTTGTGCCAAGTGATCTGTTTTCACTAAAAAAAAAAAAAAAAAAAAAAAAAAAAATCAGAGAATTACATAAACTTGATACTGCATGCCTTGTCTATGTACCAAATTCATCTCATAGTTGTTTCCATTAGAAATTTTTGTACTAAAATGTTCTATTCCTGCAGAACTTTTAACACAGCTTCGTCTTTTGATGGTAAGCTCCACAAGCAGTATTTTAAATCTGAAATTAATCTAAAACAACTATTCGTATCTAAAATCCATTGGAACTTGAAATACAACATAAGAAACACATATGAAAATGGTGACATTGCTTGAATGAAAAATTGTCATGAGCATGTTACCTGAAAAATTTTGATACATAATCGTTGCCAGAGTTTGGCACATTTTTGAAAATTTGGTAACTTTTATTAAGGTGGTTTCAATAATATGCAAATATCTTTTATTCTTATGATTGCTTCATTGTATACTTTTTCCCTTTCCCTAGAGTGCAGTACAATACCACAAGTTTTCCAGCCAAATGCGGTATGCATTTCAAGTTTCTATACATTTATATAAATTTTAAGAGAGTAAAATATTGACAAAAACTGCATTAAGTTTTCAACTCTTGTTTTGTTTTTCATTAAAAATTTGCTACCATTATGTATAATTCATTTTTTTAATGTAAATGTTTTTAAGTATTTGTAGGATAAAGGCAAATTACACTTATTCATTCTTTCTTTGATATAATACATGTAGCTCTTTACCTGAAATCAATGTTTGTCAAATTATTGTGCATAAATTAGAAGTATGCATGTTTCTCTTAAGTCAGTTATGTTTCAGGAACTATCTTTAATGAATTGTATAGAAAATTGTGGACGAGGTGTTAGGTGTACAGGAACGTGGTATATTATAAACATGTATAGTATCTCATAGTATATAAACTCATAACTTTGATTATGCAGTATGCTTTGTATATTGTATGTATATTATTTCTAAAAGCATGTATATTTCAATCAAGATTGTTGAGTAAACTTTTCTTACTTTATGCTATCTCTGAAAGCATGTATATTTCAGTCAAGATTGTTGAGTAAATTGTGCTTATTTTATGCTTTTTTCTTTTTTTACATTAGAAAATTCCACACCTTTATCACGAGGAAATCTGCAATGGCATTTAGGAATGACAAGTTTGTATCTATTACATAAAATCTAATGTTTTCTGCATTCTTCTTTTCCTTTTCCTCCCAACAGGAAAACTTTAATGGTATAAATCAGCGGTTTTCAACCTTTTGACTGTAGTGTACCATCTAAGCAAAAACTGAAAAACATTAAGACTACCACTAATTTTACAATGATTATTTTTCAATTCCTCAATAGAAATATTAAAAACATATATATATATATATATATTGCCATTTGCACACTCTTTGTATTAAATATGTACACATAAAGAACTATTAGATTAAAAACTGATGATTACTTAATTATCAAAATTAAATTTAATTAAATTAATTATTCACTTGATTATCAAAATTTCAGTTATAATACTTTAATATTTAATTTCTTTATGTCTGCTCTTATTTCATTTAATGGTAAATTAGGATCCACTTTTTATTTTGATGAGTATTTATATTTCAAATTTAACATGGAAAAAATCATTTTTCACACAAACAGGTTGTGCGAAAAGACAATACAAATTTGATAGCTTTATTTGAAATGCCTTTAAATTCTTTTTTTCGGTTCAGCCAAAAGTTAACAAGTGTGTCATTTTCCAAATCTTCAAGTCAATTTCGATCAAAGGAAATTTCTATTAACTATTCTTTTCTTTATGAGATTTTTGAATTTCATAGTTAAAAATATTTTGTTTCTTTGCATACCACCGGCTGAGAACCGCTGGTATAAATTAATTATAACAGATGTAAATTAATATTTCTCATACAAAAGAGTTATTTCAATTCTTTATTGCGAACATTATATACAGAGTATGTCTTTTATTAACAACAAGATTTTAAGAATTTAAAATAATAATCATTAAATCCTCTTGATCTATAAACAGTCTTAAAAATTATAAAGGGAAAAAAATTGAAAGTTAAAGAAATCAATATTATGAATTGTTCCTTTTTAGAGAAGTTTCATTGTTTAATTAATTTAAAAAAGTGTTTTACATTATGAAATATAAAAATTAAGAATATTTGAATTTGAATGAATATTTTAAAATTTTCCCTCAGATAGAAGCTCAACTATTCGAAGCAGGAGACCGAAGAGAAAAAAGGAAGAGAGATGATATTACAGCTGCAGAAAAGGAAATAATTGAAACGCAGAAGAATATATTAATGTACTGTGTGAAATATGTGACTTGTATAAGCAATCAGTTGCAAATCAGTCTGCTGTCATAGAAAATCAAAATATAATTATTAATTTATTAAAAAAATAAATCATGCATTTCAAATATTACAGTGTTTTCATTCTTGTATGTATTTCTGCAGTGTGGGATTCATATTTTAATTGTAAAATTTACTACTTTCTTAATTTTATAAAATTTTGTGATTATAAAAATTATTTAAAAGAAATTCACAGATCCATTATATGACATAAACATTATAATAATTCTAATACCACTATTATAAGTCTCGTGAAAATATTTATGCATTTTACACAGCAATTATCTTTTTCCTGGAGGAAAATGGGAATAAGACCTGTAAGAATCTTTAGTCAATGTATTACAAATTTTAATTTTCAGATATAACACGAAATGAATTAAATTGTTTTTCAATTATGTTAATAAGTTATATGAATGAGATGTGGTATTAAAAATTTCATTTCTTTTTATCATTGAAGAAATAACATTCGATATCCTACAGCTCCATAACAATGGCAGATAAAATTGACATTCTAATTTCGAAGTTCTAAAAATACAGAGATGACAACTATTAAAGTATGGCTAATGTCTAGTTTACAATAACAATGTTGAGTCGCGTACTAAAAATTAAGTGAATCAAACTGTATTTATTTTCCCCCTTCTCTTTTTTTTGGCTGAAAAACAATTTATTATACACTCATGATTTTACTTAAATGTATTTCTTTTAATGGCAAACCCACTGAGGTAAGTATGCAGTAAGTTATTATAGTGAATGCGTAATGATGATATAAATCTAAATTCAGCAAACAATCTTTCCCTTACTTTAATGTTTTAAAATCTAAAAT